AATAAAATAATTTACTTTTTTAAAAAAGCAAAAAGGCATTATTATTTTAATTTGGGATGTTTTCCCAGTTGATTTTAAAAGGCTGCAGTCTGCTAAGCAAACTTATTTGTGAGCAGGCCCTAGCAAACTCAGTGGGACTTCCTTATCAGGATTGCACCCTTAAGTCTGAAGGAAGCCCTACATATTTCCTGTCTTAACCATGTTGTCTGAATAATTTAATGTGTATACCTGAAAAATCAGTATTTTGGTTCTTGGATGACGGCATTAATGAATTGCTCACACCACTTTATGGGTTGACTTCTGTCGTTAATAAATGTGCAGAACTCTGACTTGTGTTTTTTTAAAAAACGGATTGCACTATACAACTTGCATTTTGCTTTCATTTATAAGGTATCGCCAGATCCAGTGAAAGTGAAGCAAATTTTCAATCCAGTAAAAAGTAGCTGGGCTGGATCTGAAATGAATATTCAACAATGGCTTCCAATGAGTCCAGTTTTGCCACTCAGGTTTTGAATGGAAAAAAGATAACGTTAGAATTCAAATTTATGTTTGAAATGTGATGTTTGGGCCTTTGAATTCGTGCTTAGTGGCAATTCCTTATTTTTTTGTATGGGTGTCCTTTGTCAGCCATCAAATATGAACCTCAACTGCAGCCAAATCATTAAATGTTGTCAAATGAGAAATGGCTACTGCATTCCAAATAGGAGCAAATATAAAATATTTTATATTTGGTCAACACCCAGAGTGTATTCAATGTTAACAATTCCAGGATAGAATTTTCATAGGCACATTCATTTCAGCTTTAACAGGACTACTGAAAACAAAAAGAATGATTTCTATTGTATACGAAATATACTTTGAAACACCTCCTGTGTTTCAAAGCCAGTGTGGTGTAGTGGTTAAGAGCGGTAGTCTCGTAATCTGGGGAACCGGGTTTGAGTCTCCGCTCCTCCACATGCAGCTGCTGGGTGACCTTGGGCTAGTCACACTTCTCTGAAGTCTCTCAGCCCCACTCACCTCACAGAGTGTTTGTTGTGGGGGAGGAAGGGAAAGGAGAATGTTAGCCGCTTGGAGACTCCTTAAAGGGAGTGAAAGGCGGGATATCAAATCCAAACTCTTCTTCTTCTTCTTCCTACTTTGAAATAACATCTACTTTGTAGGTTGGTTGCTGTGTCAGCTTTACTGTGAGACATATGGATTATATTGCTTCATCTTAGTTTTTAGCCGCCCTCAAGACCTTGAGTTGGATTCAAAGAACCATGTGGCAAGATTCTCATGCCCAAGGGAGATCTGAAGCTCACGTTTCTCCTCCAAAAAGCAATCCCCCATGCTGTGCGACAAATGTATTGAAAATGAGGAAAAATGGAAAAGCACTTTTTGATATGAGATGGACTGCAGTACAAAGGGAAATTATCCAGAATCTGCCTGGGCATGGACAAGTCAGTATGTGCACCTGATGTGCGTCTCTGGGTCCTGCCCTTGGTGGGTGGGAAAGGGGAGATATAATTCCTTTAAAATAATATTATGAGAGAGGCAGATATAGGTACACACACGTCCCCCCACCCACAAACACACAAAATTATATCCACGTTAAATGCATAGGGCACATCTAGCGTCTAGCACGTCTCACTGAGCAAAAATACTGTGTTTGTGTCTTTACGCATTATCGTATGCTGACTACACATTACATGCTTAAAACACAACTAGTCCGTTCCTTTTCTCAATTTGGATGGAAGCTGGTTTGGAGGAAAATGCAACAAAACGAAGTATTTCCCAAGGAACAACAGAAGAGATATGGTTTGTGGCTAACACTTTGTACACACCGCTTCCCGAACCAGCGGTGGGAGCGCGCTTTATGCGGAGTAAACAGGACTGTGCAATGCGCAGTGGTTGGAACGAGCTCTGGACTGATCCCAGCTGAAGGCTGTTTAGGCTGCAATCCTAGCCCCACTTACCTGGGAATTCGATGGGACTTACTTCTAAGTAGACATGGTTAAGTCCGCACCCAGGTTTTCTACGCTGCTTTCAGTGGCATTTCGAGCGAAAACTCAGCGAGCAAATGCTTGAAACGGATAGGAGCTCCGTAGATTTCGAGGGCAATTGCTGCCAGAAAACATCCCTCTGATTCAGCCTAATATAGCGACAACTCTGTTAGATCCCCTCATACACATCCCAGACTTTTAGCCGGTGGGGAAGGGTAGATTACAAATCGTTCTTTCCCATTAGGAATCTCTTGAGGATAAAGTTGTGTAATTAAGTATATACCGTCTAAAGAAACTGCAGAATTACGCGCATACCGGGTGCGGAGCACTCGGGAAGATCTCGTATTTTCTTTTCACGAGGAGTGTCTAAAAAGGAAAAGTTAAGGACTTCGGGCCCACCCGATTGTTTCCGAGTTAGTGTTACTGTTTGGGGATAAAACAGACAGCTTTTTGTTCCCAGCGCTGTTTAGATGGAGATAGCGCTTGCTTCGAAGTAAGTGAACATGGGCTTGCAGCCTTAATTCAGAACCTCCTTTGAAAAGTCTTCAATCTATTTTACAGAGGTGGTAAATCCTACTGAAATCGAGGAGACTTGGTCCCGAGGAAGAATCTGTTGGATTGCAGCCTTACGCAACAAATCTGTACGCACTTACCTGGAGATCTGCCCCATTGAACTCAATGACGCTTACTTCTGTGTAAACATGAATAGGATTGTATTATAAGAGTCTTGACCCGTTGACTCAAGCCTAGGTGGTTAGGCATGGGCTTCAACTCCGGAGAATTTACTTGGCTCAGACTCCGGATTATTTTATGAGGCTCATGCTAAATTACCATCTTTTCCCAACCTACTATTCATTTCTCCAGAGGGAACGGGAGAGAGGGAGGAGGATCAAGAAGTTGTAGTTTTCTTTGCCGTGGTGATCAAGGAAGGGCAGTTGGGGGAACAAGCTGTGTCTGGCTGCACAATGTTATCGGCCCTGCGCCTTGCGCGCTCCAGGTCACGCCTTTCTGCAAACATTGCATTAAGGGCTTTGTTCCACCAGATAGCAGACATGGGGGCAGGGGGATCCCTATAACGTTTTTAAGAGGGGCAACAAATAGACTTTCTCTTGTGGCCACTGACCAGATCATGTCGCTGGAAAACAGCGAAAGTGGGGGGTGGGTAACGAAAGAGAGGAAGGCTCGAAGCTAACAAAACGGATAGATCCGTAAATATTGACATCGTTCCAATTTGTAAACCCGTGTGAAATCAATACGAAGAGTGGAATTAAAAATCGTAGAAATAAAATGAGATGTAATAAGAGAGGCTTATGGTTCCTTTCAGGAACAATAGATGTATGAAACTTTGGAGAAGTGGGGAGACTGAGAGAAAATTATACACGCGCGCACGCGTGCATCTGACAAAATGAGCCTCAGGACAGAACGCTACAATACATCTATTTGTGCCATAAAACTCTTATAGTACAACCCTATGCAGGTTTACTCAGAAATAAGCTGAGCTCAAGGGGGCTTACTCCTAGGAAAGTGTGTATAGGGCTGCCGCCTAAGGCATCTCTGAAAATCTGGAATTGAGAAGTAGACAAGGCCTGGCGGTTGGCAACAGCAAGGACACACAATAATTCTGTAACAACGTCCGCAGAGCTCTGATGGGTCAGGCGAGAGGCTCATTCGGGCGGTGGCCAACCAGGTGTCTATGGGAAGCCCGCGAGCAAAGGCCCCAGGAGCGATTCCCAGCAGCTGTCATTCAGAGACACATTGCCTCAGACAATGGAGGTAGAGAAAACTTGTATAGTGGCTCAAAACAACACTTTTGTTTTGGAAATCAGGGAGTTGTTACAATCGAATTTAATGTACGAGTTTATGGATGCGTTAACTCAGAAGCAAGCTCCATGTCGGTCAGCAGGCATTCTCATTTAATTGTACGGGGCTGCAACTTTGTAGGGGTTTACATAGATCCTCACGCAATATAAATGGGAGAGGGGGACCTCATAGATTTAAATGATATTTATTTCAAAGTAAGGGAGTTCTTAGGGCTTATGCCTTAATGGTTGTAGTGGCACGAGTTAAGGGCAATGGCGCAGGGATCTCTTCTAATGAGAAAAGACTAAGAACGCCTGTGATTTCCACTAGAAGCCGTGGGCTCTTTCCCAAATAAACTCGTTTAAGAGCGAGGTGCCAGAATATATATTATTTATTATTTATATTATTTATTATTTATTCAGTGTGCGTACGGCTCAAGATAACCCAACTAGACACAATTCAAAGCTGCGGATGGGACTGTACAGATCCCTCCACATCAAAAGCAGCCAGGGCATCTCTGAGGTAAGATGAAGGGTGGTCACCTGGATCGATCCAGGTAGGAACCAGCCATAGGCTGTCTGAGGAAGGCGCCTTCCCGCTGTCAGATCTCTCTTTCTGGATTCCTACCAATGTGTACACTTTAAATACAGACGCACTGGTTTTTTTGTATCATACTGTACTAAAATACTGACATGCTTTACAGCGGGGACATTTCTTTTGTATCATATTTTATTGTTAAGAGTTCCGTGGAAACAACTGGGCCTTACTTTCAAGTCAATAAGTTTAAATTCAGAGTGTGAATCCTGAATCTCTTCTAATCGCCTTTGGAAGTACATTCCGTATGAAGATCGATCATGGACATTGGAAATAAGCCCTACTGGGTTCAGTGGAAGTCACTGATTAGAGGATTGGAGCTTTAAACTAGGCTGAATCTGTTCCAAAACGCGTGCGTAGAACTGGTGCCCAGAAAGCGTCATTTGTTAGGGTGCAACGGGGCAGGCGGGCACTACGCGCTTCAAGCAGAGCAAGTTGCGCTTCAGGAATCCTTGGGCAGCGCGATCCTGCTGGGGCTCTGGAGCCCGATCCTGAAGCCAGTTAAGACTGATCGCCAAAATTAACAGCGCAAGGTTACGCCTGACAGCTAGGAAGCAAGGCCCATTGTGTTCAACGGAGCTTAACCCCTAGTAAATGTGCTAATGATACCAATCCCTGTAAAAATCAATAGGATTTAGTTCCATATCGATACGCATAAGTTGCGGGCAGCCCCTCTCGTCGGTTTCGGTATAAGGCCCCGTCCACAACAAACCGTCTAAATCCGGTTTGGTCCTGTCGGCGACACTGAGAATAAATCGGTTTAAACTGCAATCTCTATTTGCACTTTCGTGGGAATAGGCGCCAGGCTAACACCTCCGACTAAAGGTGCAGAGGATTACACTGCGAAGGAAACAATTTCGCCACCAACAAGAGTCTAATCTTCAGCGCATTAATGCAAAAGTTCCGCGCACGTCAGTGGGGCTCGCTTACTACTGGAGTGCAGAATCAGTTTCCACTTGGCTAAAGTCAAGAGGCAACAGCTGAACGGTTCGGTGGATTGCCTTTCCAGGGTTCCGCTTGCTAATCTTTATGGAAATGGTTTCTGGCAATTTATCGCTCCCAATTCTCTGTTTCCATATTAGATAGCTTTGCTCCCCGTGAAGGTAACTAGGCTAAGTGGAGGAAATTAGTTGGCACGCTCTGGTTTAGATCCTGTTATAACTGGAGCAAACGCCGGGCCAGGAAACCCCCCTCCTGCATAAAAATGCAAGATCTCCGACCTGCCCAAAGTCAGTGAAACCAAGGCATTTGGAATAAAAATTATTTAAATGGAAAATAATTTCCCCTTTACATTTCTTCTTTCTCTTTCTCTCCTTTTTGGAGAACACGTAGAAATGTTTATCAAAGCAAGTTTTCTAAAATGATTACTAGACTACTTTAAATCCAGACATAGTGGCTTGGTTGCCTTAGCGGGGTTATAGTGGAATAAGATTACTGATTTCTCCACCTGCCCCAAGAGAATCTGAACATAAAATAAAAAACCGAATCCTTTTAAAATTTTGCTGAAATGCTGTACTCAATTCCCAAGAACCAGTAAGGACTTGATTAAGATTGAGGCAAAACCCCGAAGTATGTCTTAATAATAAGAGAAAAGTTTCACGGACTTAATAATATGTCTTAATAATAAGACATATTCTTGCCACTTTTCCCAGGAGCTCTGTGAGCAAAAACGAGAAACTGTCTCATGAAGGGCGAATACTTTTGAAGAGCTAGTCTGGGGAGACACTTTTGCGGACTGCAAGCGAAGGAAGCTGAATTTGACGCACAGTGGTCATAGTGTGAGGTGACTCGCATCTTTGGATCTAACTTTTAGCTCCCAAATATGTTGGTTTTCAAAACAGTAGCAAACCAAGCATTGGTTTGGATAAAGTCAGCTTAAAGTTCTTACTCTCAACTGATCAGCTGATTCAGTGTTTGCCTTCTTTGCTGTGTAGGATTATGGCATTACAGAATATTTGCCCCAATATTAATTGCCTAATAAATTATTGTTGGTAGACTGCTGCGTAGTTCTAAGGCATCACACGCTGTAGTAAGGTTTTCTATTGTAGCAGGACCTGGTTAATGGGGCACCTTTGTTGTTGTTTTACAAGTGGCCTTAATCTTAATGATACTCTACTTGAGTCTGGGATTCATTTAATCCTATATATACATGCCTGCTCAAAAGGAAGCCCACTTGAATCCAACAAAACTGTTTCCCGGACAGGGCTGTCCCAAGACATTTTGGCACCTGAGACGGACCCCTAAATGGCGCCTCCTTCCACACCAGGGAAGAAGAGGCAAGGGAAGATCTACATCAGGAACAAGTGAGGAAGAAAGGTTGACATTGGGACCTGCTGCCCTGTGGATCCTGCCGCCTGAGGCGGTCGCCTCACCTTGCCTCATGTGTAGGCCGGCCCTGTTTCCAGGTACACATATAATACAGGATTGTAGTCTTAGTTCTCTCCCTTTCTTGGTTGCTTCCTAATTACATCAGAAAAGTGCAACCAGGGATCCAGCCTAATGGTTTCTCTAAAGGCTGGCCATAGGCTAGGCAAAATATATTGAAATGAAAAATGCATGAAGAAGAAGAAGAAGAAGAAGAAGAAGAAGAAGAAGAAGAAGAAGATCATCACGTACAGATTGCTAGATTCTGTACAAATATAAAACTCTCCCTGGATTCCCAAGGCTGGGTCTGTTGTCATTAAAGTGATCCCCAGTTCCAGTCAGGAAATGGAAGACCTTCAACATCCAGAAGCATTGCTGTATTAAGGCTGAGTAATCACCGTGCTTTTAAAGCACACACAGTCACAATTCTGGAAACTGTAGTTTATCTACAGAGCTACAATTCCCAGCACTCTTAACAGCCTAGAGTTTTCAGGGTTCTATGAGGGAATCCATGTGTTTTATTTGTTTGGTGTGCAGCAGTAACTCCCAAAATTCTTGTGGCACCTTCAACACTCACAGATTTATTGTGAAAGTTTGTTGTTAGTCCTTAGGGTGTCCCAAGCCTCTCTGAAGATTTAACAACCAGAAGAGGAAATATTTCCTGCCTGCCATGGGGAGGGATGTAGAACCCTCAGCTTGATTAAGTATATTTCAGTGGCTATTATTATTATTAATTCCCCAGCCACTCTGGGCGGCTTCCAGCACTTAAAAACACAATAAATCGCACATTTTCTTTCAGCGGCACCTCCTTACCAAGTGTGATCGCAGTCTTTTGCACGCTCCCCTTTGGAAGAAGCCCCATAAGCCAAATGGGGTTTTCTTTCCCGCCTGGCCACCCTATAAGGTTGTGTTGCGAATGCATTTATGGGATCAAGTTATTTCAAAGGTGGTGCTGGTTGTCGTTATCACCATCCTTCGCCCCCACCCTTGCCCAAGAGAGACTGGAAGAAGCCCATTTCTCCGACTTGGCAGTCAGGCATAGAGCCGTGCCCACGTTGAAAGCATAACCCCGACCGAGACACTGCGTCTTGCTTCAGCATGGATCGAGAGAGAAGGAGAGAGGCCAGAAGAAGAGAGGGGAAGGCGTCTTACCCGTGCCAGCCCACTGTCCCTTCCAGGCGTGGGATTTGGTGGATTTCATCCAGGGGAATGGCAAGTGCACTCTGGGCTCCCCTAGCACCCCAGAGTCCGCCCCATCTGCAAAGGGGAGCGCTTCCTGGTGCGAGTGAGGCAGTTGAGAGTGGTGGTGCTGGTGGTGAGGGTGGTGATGGAGATGTGAAATGCCTGGGTCGTCGGTGATGGGGGGCACCTCGTAGGGGGAAATGTCCGGCGGGCTGCCTTGCTCCAAGGCCCCCAAAACACTTGGGTACGGGGGCTGCTGCTGCTGCGGTTGGGGCTGCCTACCCATGTACAGGCACGCGGGGGGGCTCTGGCTATAATCCTGCGGCTGGGATCTCTGAAAGGCGCACGGCTCCTTGAAGAGCTGGCTGGAGGCGTAAAACTGGTCCTCGCTGTTCATGGCTAGAGGAGCCACCGGGGCGAGCCGCGCACAGGCCAGGGCTGCGCTGCGAAGCCTTTGACAGGTGCGACTCACCTGCGTCCGCGGCTGATGAGCCCCGAGGACCAGGACATCTCGGGGAGCTTTCCCATTGGCTCTCCGGCAGGCGCGTGAGCCCGCCTGGCTGCCCCCATTGGGCGGAGCCTTCCCAATAAGAATCCGCGCTTGCTGAAGCTTAGAACCTGGGAGTTTCACTTTCTTGAGGTGTGTGAGTGTGCGCGCAACGTGGTGATAGTAGCAATTGTAGTAACAGCAACAGCAACGTCCCCGCCCCAATAAACTTCACTGTTTTCGCAAGACGTTCACCTCCTGGTTGTGCTATAATTGCAGCTGGCTTGGAGCAACAGCCGGGGCCCCCGGAAAAAGGGAAACAGTAACTGAACCAAGAGTGTCCTCGAACATGTACAAAGAGCTTTCCTTCCTGGATGGCTAAAACCATATTTTGGATTAGAAACGGGAATGTTTCAGATCGGAGGCGTGAGTTTTATTCTTTGAATTTCATAGTCTTCATAGCGCGGGCGCTCTTTAGATGGGGTGTATTCATTAATTTCAAAATATGGCAAGCCAGCTTTGCTCGGTTGTGGGGGGCGCCTCTTTCTTATTCTGCTGAGTGGAGCGCTGTACTTTTGCCCCTAGAGTCCTGCCCAGACAGCACTGCACCAGAAACTTTCAGGTAGTTACGAACTTCTTCTGAAAGAAAGAAAGAAAGAAAGAAAGAAAGAAAGAAAGCCTGACTATATAGGTGCGCGCGCTCGAGTATCAGTTATGCAGCCAAGCCTTTTCTCCTCCGCCCGATCCGCGGGCCGTTCACTGTGCCCAACAAGTTACTGCTGCTTCCTAGTTTAAAACGAATTTCCTGTGCTGGTTGCCGGGGCGCAAAGTGCAGCGTGGCTCTATGCTGCTTTGGCTGGAAGATGACCGTAAGTGGTATTGAATTGACTGGATTGCAGAAATCCAGGCTCCACGTTTTCCTGACTTTTTAATTTTTATTTAAATATAAATTATGTTAAAAACCTTTCTCACCCTCTCTTCATTGCAAATGCAATTCCAGAGCGGGTTACAAATGGAAACGAATCCGGATCTACCATCCTGGCTTGCGTGGGTATATGAGTGAAAGAAAAAGGGCCGTTGTCTCTTGCCATGGCCACATCGCTTATTGCGCAAATCACATCCCGTTGAAGTCGGTTGCAAAGCGCGCCCTCACTGTGCTGAGTGCTTCCGGACGCCTTTTGCGTTGCAAGTTGACGAGTCCACACACTGTGCTGGGCAGAGTCCAGCGGAGCCGTTTCGAAGGGCTGGCCTTTAACAGCTCGCCTGCTGTGTGGTCAAGAAAGCACCTGGGAGAGTGTTTCGGGAGGGAAGGAGGGCTTAAAGGTGTGGGTGACCGTCCTCCACGTCGTGGAGAACAGGGCAGGTGGCCAGCCCCCGCTTTCCCGCACGTTTGTTTAAGCTCAATCAACAAGTGTCCAGGATTGTTGGATTTTTTAAACCTCCAACCTGGGAAACCTGTCGACCTGGGTGAATTATATCAGCCAGAGATTAGAAAAGGCCACCAGTCGCTTATCAACTTTCTCAGTTCCTGCAGCAAAGAGGCTCAGCGTGCAAACAGAAAAGAAACACTTCCTAAAACTCTTCATGCTCCCAGCTCTCCTCCAATTCCTTGCTTACATGCTTAACAAATATTTGCATATTTATTGTTGTTGTTGCTATATACAGCAGCTTGCTGTCGTCTTGGATAACATTAAAGACTAACAAATTATCTGTTTGTAAAATGATCCAAAATTGATTTCATTTATTATATTATTTTGGAGGAGGGTGGTCATTCGGACTGTCCAGTCTCCAGCCTAAAAATGTGTTGCCCTAGGGTTAACCTCTCTTATTTATTGTTATTTATTATTTTTATGATTGGTTTAATAGTAAATCAGTTTGTGTGTATCAGTAGAGATTTCTGCCTTGGCTCAGTCTCCCCTCTGCAATCATATGCATAGTTACTGAGGGGGGTAACCTGTGTATTGTGCATAGGACTGGGCTGTATGCTGCCTGAAAAGGAAGTATTTTCTCTCAGCCTCATCATTTCCTTTCTGGCAGCTGCAAAATGGGTATAACAACCCTGGCCTAGTTTTCAGGCTGCTTACAGGATCACAGTGGTGTTATTTGTGCAGCACTCTGAATATTCAAACAAAGGAAAAGCCTGGTACTTACATAATAAGGGGATAATTCAGCCAATATTTGGCATTTAGAAACCCGGTGGATTTCAATGGCAAAGTTAAGCACATGGTTAAATCTTTCATAAAATACTAAATGTGCTTAATTTTTGGCTAGATTGTGCCCTGAGTATTATTACTACTAGAGTGCCTAATAATAATATATCGACCAAAAGGTGATTTGAGCCCTACCTACAGGCTTTTAGTATAAAAACACAATGCAAGAAATATGAAAGCAAGGATGAAGGTCAGATTTTAATCTGATTTTAGATGTTTTTTTGTTAACGTCTGGAAAATTTTCACTGTGGGATAGAAATCTTTGAAACAAACAACTCAAAACAACAGAATTTGTCTCACTGAGTGTGAAAACAGATGGAAGTCGAGAGGCTTCTTGTAAAAGTACGCCTATATCCTTGGGATTAAAAACCGACCCATCGGTTGGTTTTGCTGGGCAGAAGCTTCCTTTAGGAACCCATTTGGGCTGATTTACCCCACATTAGGATGCATTGAAAAAACAGCCTCTTTAATTTACTGCTTCCATACAAATAATGAGAGCTTGTTCTTGGAATAGGACACTTTAGGGGAGGGTGAGAGCCGTGGTCCCTGGGGTCCCACCCCCCACCTGACCCATCCAGCTCTGCCTGCCTTCAATTCTCCCTGGCGCAGGGTGAGGATTTTCAAATTCACTCTCAACCTTGTTTTGCTTAACTTGCCCTCAATTTCCCTGTAGTGACTTTGAGTACAAGTATGGGTGGCATTTTTCTTAAAGGGGCATGTGCCTAATGCACATACTCTACTAGAGCAGCAGTGGGCAGAAGAGGGACCCATGTCTACTGCTAAATCAGAGAACGATTTGCAGTAGATCAGAAAGAGTTTCTAATTCCCTGTTGTTTAACAACAGCATCTGCAGAACTGCACACTCATCCTGAATTAGGCACTTAGAATCAACAATCTGCAGCAACTTAGATATTAATTTGTACTTCTGTTATGTAAGCCATCCCAGTATAGCCATAGCTCATGGAGCACAGTAGGCAACTGGTTCCACCTCTTGAGCCACTATTCGGCATCTGGTTCCAGGTGGTGGCCCACTAGAGGAAAGAAGAGTAGACTCCACTTATCTGAACTCTGCTCTAAGGGATGGTTTGGAAGTATTATTCACCCTACGTGCAGGGCATAGAAAGGCTTTGCTCAAAGCCACAGTAACTGGGGAAAGTAACATCTGAAAAATATGTAGTGGTTTTGCGCCTGTGTTTTCATGCCCATAGCAGTGGTGGCACTGGCATGCTTCCTCTATGCAATGCACTCAGGGGAACTGCAGAACACAACAGGGAACTTTCCAACTTTCCCTTTCCCCATATACACCATCACCACCGGAAAGGAGCTTTCTCACAACCTGATGCTGCCTGCAAGGTGAATCGACTGTAAACTGCTGCTACACATCAACATGTAAAGGCATCATCACGTGGACAGGGAGATGTGCAAGAAATAGTGGCACATTTGTGCCTATTCAGACCCATCTCATGGACCCTTGGCTATGTCTGAGTACACACAAATGTGCCACTATTTATTGTGCACAAATCTCTCTGTCCAGGTGATATCTTTGCACAGGTATCTATGAGGTGTGTGTTCTTTCTCAGGTGAAAAAGCCACCTGGCAGAGAGAGAGAGAATGCACAACAGGGTAAAGATTTGACTGATAGGTTACTTCTCCCCCACCACCCACCACCATCCATGTGCTGTAGGATCTGTGAATGAGCTCATTGTATAATGGATGTGGTGGTGCATCTAGCTTGAGAACCATTGATTAGCCCAGGGCTAGTTTGGTAGCCTGAAAGAGGTTGACCCCTGGAGATGAGTAATCTGCTCCTTCCCAGCTGGGACTGGTTGACTTGGCGACGCGGCTATGAGGGGGCGGAAAGCTGCCCAAAGGACAAAGATCATTTTCCTTCCCTGGTCTCTCGCTCGCTTGCGCTCTCTCGCTCATGCACTACTCATATTGACTTTGCACTCTTTGCCTAATTGCAGCTTTCCCTCAAAAATTAAACCCATCTCGTTGCTTCATGGGTTCCCACATTGCATCTGGTTTCTTCTGGCACCCAGAAGAGGAGAAATGAAGGGAGCAACTTTGGCCAAACTGAAGAACCTAGGAGGAAATATACATGGGGTGGGAGAGAGAAAACAGTGAGCAGATTGCTCTTCTCCCACACCTCTCCTCTCGTACAGGCCCTTTTATTTGTTATTCTGCACCTGGCCAGTGATCCTTAACTTCTCCCACTGTTCAAAGCACAGTTCACACATTCATGCCACATCACTTGATGACTCAACACTTCTGCCATTTACCGATGGTGTGAACAGATGCTGCTGAAATGCTTTGGCCTAAAGTTCTGTCCTAGTTTGGCTGGCAATGGGCTGGTCACCCAGTAGAGGCCGATCCCCATTGGGACTGGCCAGGTGGAAAGCTGGGAGGTCAGTAGTAGGTGGAGCAAGACCTCACTTGCCCAAAAGCATGCTTTATAAACATACCGGCAGTGGGGGTTGGAGGAGACTGTCCAGCTCCATAATATAATTGCACTGCCTCCAGCAGTTTGGTCAAACTCATGTTTGTAGCTTCGAGAACACTGTCCAACCATCTCATCCTCTGTCGTCCCCTTCTCCTTGTGCCCTCCATCTTTCCCAACATCAGGGTCTTTTCCAGGGAGTCTTCTCTTGTCATGAGATGGCCAAAGTATTGGAGTCTCAGCTTCAGGATCCGTCCTTC